GACGGAGTTTGCCTCTCGAGAATACGGAAATTGTATGCCACCGCATGATGCTCCACTGGCTTGTCGAGGGTTATCGGAGACGCTTGTACCGCTGTAGGGGACGGGCTCGGGGCTGGGGAGGACAACACTTCAATGAGGGGTTGGTATCTGGCGCGGTCGGACGAATACTCCCGCGACGCGCAGTGCTCGCGCAGAACACCAAGAACATACTCCTTGGAGGTGAAGGTGATGGCGCCATCGACTCGCACATTGCACAGTACAACCGAATTAAACGCCTGCATCTGCGCCTTCGTAAGGCGGGTGATCCGAAATGCAAAAAGATCGGCATCACTCTCCTTCCCCTGGGCTGCGAGGGTTATCCTGGCCGGTTCCTGCTTGATGTCCTTGAAATCGGTGTTCAAGAACGGCTGGTTTCGAAGGTTGCCGGGGAGCATCTTCTTTTGCCGCAACACGACCGCGAACCGTGGACTGACAACGAACAGGCGATGCATCTTTGACAACGGGAATGAATTTCCTTCCCAGAGGCCGAAGCCGTTTTGGCCCAGGATAAACTCCGTTCCCTCTGGCGCTTCCCAGAAGCCCAGAAAATACTCTTGCGCCTGCGTCGCGTACGCCAGGGCATGGTAGTGCTCCATCTCGGGGTCGATAACTAGACTGTTTACCACATCTCGCCCGTACTTTTGATACGTCTCGTCCGCCTGCTTGCATATCACGGAATGTGGTGTCTCCATATAATAGCGAATCGTGAAAAGCCACATATCGGCCGAAGTCTTCAAACCGTGCTTCCTCCTAAAATTCTTGAACCATGGAATGAGAGGGCGATTCTCGGGGTGGTCTTCCTGGAAGTAAGTGCTGGATAGCTTACTTTGTCGGTAGTGCATGATGAAGAGGAATTTTCGGAGGTGGTACAGGTCTTTGCTATGGCAACAGCGACTGCTCAGCTTCGCTTAACAGTGATTTGTAATCCATTCTGAACCAAACAATGCCAGGACCCCGAATGCATAGACTACGAATTGTGTACTGTCGAGTGCATGCATGACCTTGCTTGTCCAATCGCTAAACGGCGAGTCCGAGTTTTGCTGCTAGTTAGCTCCTATTTTTCTGCATTGTAAAAGCAGCATTATAAATTACATTATCCATTATGTAGAGACTTTTAGGTTGGAGATCAATCCGGCAGTCTCACAGGATCATAGGAACAGTCGAAATTCTATTATTAGTTACTCTAGTACACTCGCTCACCCGGAGGCTTTTCCAGGGACTCGAACGTCTAACTGACATGTAGTCCGTCTTTTCTACCACATCGTCCGACTACCCCTAGTATATCTCTCGCTATAATACGGCATATATAGTCGCAACCTTCAGAATATAATCAGTTATTCTTTTTCAATGCACATCCAACGATAATTAGGAATCCATTATGTGACATACATCTAAAATTATTCACTAGAGGTTATTCGCAATCTCAGTCTTGTGGCACTCCTCTGGTACTTCCATGGCGCTCGCCATACTGGCGAAGCAATTTCTCCCAGGCCTGGCATCAAGTGCTAAACGGACGGATGGTCATTTTTATTTTGTACGGTCAGAATACGGATCGCCCTCTTGGATAACATATAGACCCGATTATACAAAGCAGCAAGCTGGGTATTTCAATTGTTACCTTAGGGGATGCTCATCTCGCGGAACTCCTCGCCAACCCTCGCCCCATCCCACTTTGCGGCTTTTACATGTTGGCCGAGCACTCATCATACCTCTGCACATATTCTGACCTGCTGGTCTGGATATCCCCTCTCAAGATCCGCATATCAGCTCCTGATACCAAGGACACAGGCAAGTGCATAGACCTCGGACACAGGAACACTTGGACGAGATGGGGAGATACGCGGCACGGCCCGGCATCGAATACAGCGTGCGGCTATGTAGGCGAGAGCAGCGGTAGCAATAATCGGAGAGGTCGTAAATCTTATGCGTTCGGTCCACAACTTAGGACATCAAGACTCAAGAGGTTTCGCGTCTTTCGAATATTCAATTCAAACGACGAGAGACAGACTGAGTCGACTGTCCAACTGTCCATGCGTTGGGAATGACGACGTCGACGGACTCAGTAATATAAAAACCTTGATCAGATGTAGTCAACGGAATAGGGATCTGGAAAAATCTGTCCTTGTCTTGCTGTACAGGGCTCCGTCATGGCCCATGCTCGGTTGTGCAGCATCACCCAAAACAAAGACCAGTTACAGGGACGTCCGTAGGGGGGCGCGTAGAGTCAAACGATATGCGCGGCGAGCTAGCTCTATGATAACCGCGTAGAAATAAGGTCACATTGTGTACGGCCCTTTTCCAGCGCCGCATCGCCCGATGAAGGAAGGATTTCGATGATGCGAATGCATGAGAATATCGTGCACTCAAGCTTCAAAAAAGCAGTGAGCGATGACCGAGAGAAATCAGGAAGGAAAGGTACCTGTCGACTGCCGAAACCTTGCCCAAATAAACCAAACGAGCGGGCATCCTGGAGTTCAATTCAACGGCTTGCTTGACGATCCACGCCTCGAGGTGTTGTATCGATTGGCCTCTTACAGCAAGCGGAGGCGGCGGAGTGCTGAATGCCGGGCGGAGGGGTCGAAATGGCTATTAACGCGCGAGCGTCAGGGGCTCGGGGGCTCTGATTGCGTATGTCGGATCGACGTAGGGCGGAAGCACCTCGCCAGCGCTGAGGCCTTGCCGGCTCTCGTGCGTACGGTGTGTATCCGACAAAGTCATCGAGCGAGCTGCGCTCGGGCACCAAGGTGGGTAGGGTCCGCGATTTGTAAGTGAGCACCGTCAATGCCTGTGGCGGCTTGGCTCTGAGAGCCGTCGTTGGGAATTAGAGGAGGCTTGCGTGACGACGTAGTGGGGGGATGCGGCTTTGCATGGAGAATGGGGTCGTGCGCTTCTTCCCTGCTGCTTCGAGGCAGAGGGGTTGGAAAGGCTACGAGTGGGATATATGAGATCAGTAGTCATAGAGAGGTAGCCGGACGCACCTAAATGGCTCTCGCCCACCTGGCGTCTGCCCTGCTCTTTCTTCCCCTTCCCCTGCTCCCTTGAGAGTCGCGTGAGCCACTGCACGCTTTTCCCTGCCAAATCTGCAGAAATGGCACAAAAGGTTGCCATCAATCTTGCCCCGCCATCTCATAATCCCTCTACGGTGGAGGAGGGCGCTTTGTGATGTCCTGAGGGCTAGAAGTAGCAAAATAGCATAATATACCTGTAAGATTGGATTAAACGAGGTCGGCAACGTAAGTAACCAAATCCATTGAGAAAACATAAAGTATACATACGACAAGAGGTTTCACAGCTAGACGGCAGTCCAGGGTGACGTGGTGGTAGCGAGAGTCGACGACGAACGATGTTGAACATGAAAGTTAACTGATTAGATATGACGTTAATCTATGCGTTCGGGGTCCTGGACTTGTTTGGTTCAGGGCAGATTACAAATCGAAGCTGAGCAGTCGCTGTTGCCATACTTTGCGATTCAGGAGGAAGTCGTCTTCTGTATGGACGTGTAACTTGTTGATGATCCTCGCAGCGTGGTTCTCCAGGACAGAGAGCCCTTTCTCCAGCTCGTTGACGTCCTGCGCGCTGACGTCGCGGTACAGATTCTGGACACCGTAGACGTTGTTTAGGGATTGGTCGCTCAGAGTCAAAGACGCGATATCGAAGACGAGGACCGTTTCGGCTGCGCGTTCCTCGAACGTTTTGTATTTAAGACGTTTTTCCTGAGGTCTGGGCGGTGTCAGCTCAAATATATGGTATACAGGCGGCGGGAATGAAGGTGCATGCGTACATGTTCGCTGCTGCGACATGATATCGGCGCAGGATGAAACGAGGGATGAAATGGTGGTATTGGTCTTTGGATGCTGTGTTGGCGGCTGGTGAGGTGGCAGTGGACTTGGGAGGCATTGATCAGAAGGGGGAGAAAGGCGGCTCGAAGCGGTTGACTTAGCAGAAGACAGAGCTCCTTTTAAGGACTTGTCAAATCCGGGTGGGCGCTTCTCGACCGGTGATTCCCATATGTACTCATGCACTGGATGTGTGAGTCCATGGCCTGAGAAGCGTCTAAACTTGTAAATCTAGGTGCTCGACTTTCACAACGCTCAAAAACAAGTATACAAACGAGACCTACCTATCAGCCTATCCTTTGAGATGCCGACGACCACGAGATCCCATCAATCCCCCTCGTCGACCTCTCCTTCTCCACTCTCCGCCTGGTACCAAAGAGCCCTCTTGACTCCACATCCCACACCTAAAACCTTTTCCCCATCACAGGCGAGCCTGAAGTTCGCCTTTACCATAAGCTCGTTCGGGGGAGGGGGCATGGTGGTCGCTTTGTTTTCCTTGCAACCCGGGCCATCAGATCATGAGCACAGTGACCAGCTTATCGCAGTCGACGGGGCTGGGCGCGTGCTGCTTATCTCTGTTGAGGACTCCACTGCCCTGCTCGCCGTTGCCAAGGACGTTTTGACGCTTCCGACGAATGGCTCATGGCGGAGCGCGTGGTCCATTACTCGTGATTACAGCTGCGCTCCCAATTATCATTTGGTCATATCTTCCTCTCCGACTTCGTCTTTGAATGCCCGCTCAGAGACTACGTTAAAAGCGTCAAAGGCCATGTCACTGAAGGGTCGCTTCAAATTCGTCACAGTGAGCGGATATTCGAGAACAGAGAGGAGGCTGAACCAGGCTATACAGGGTATCACAGAATTACCCGATAGCTTGTGGAACCTCGTCGATCTGGGACTGAAAGCGCGTCAGGAGCCCCCAGGGAAGAAGGGGACAAAGGTGTTGAAAAAGGTGTGCAAGGTTGTGCCGAATGAATGGGAGGTGGAGAAGGAGGTCGAAGCATAACTTTTTTCACAACTATGATTTATATGATCGAATCAGATCGATGCAGGAGGGATACTAGCTAGACGGAGCACTAAAATTAAAGTGCTAGTCGACAAAAACTTGGGTTTCCAGCCATTACCCGACGCCAGCAGGGTTCGAACCTACGCCCTCAAAGAGGAACAGATAGTGAAGTAATTCAAATCTGTCGCCGTAACCACTTGGCTATAGCGCCGTGTATGTCTAACACGATGTACCAGTACCCCAGGGGCGGCTAAGTCTATAAGAGCCCAACACCCTCCGGTGACATGAAAAAAATTGGATGTTCGAGATCCACCGTACTCCACGTATTCGATCCTGCAGCCCAGGGGGGAAACATATGTGAACGATATGAGAGTCGTGTTACAATCTCTGTGAACATTCAGTCAGATATGCTGTATATGATGACCTGTTCAGCACATGGTGGAGGACACGCTCAGACTGTTGGATTTAAACTTGACAATAAATCATGAGCACCGATACAATGCACTTCAGGACGTCAGCAGGATGGGATTCTTCGACGATGGATGCTGAGCGTTTGACACCGGATTCGGCGTCAAACACTGGTATCATGCCAGATACATGTTTAGAGGCAGCTTGTAAGTATATGTTGCCCAGATGCACCGAGATTCTGAATCTCAAGCGGGGCTCAGAGCATGCGACATGTCGCAATGCCGTGGAATATCAAGTGAGGCAGAGGTTCGTGCGCGTTCCAATAGCTAGGAAAGCGCGATGAAGAAGAAACCTGGAAGAAACCGATCGTGGGACGAGGTGGCAGTGTTCAGGCTTGTTGCTATTTGGCAAACCCTCTAACCGAACAGCAACCACGATGCTTCAGCCGATACTGCGGTCGACAGCGTTCAACTTCGCAACCACGTCCCACACTTTTGAATTCGAACGGGCGTCCCAACGGTGGTTGAATATCTACACTCAACAGACAAGATATTATCCCCTCGTGCATATCGCGGTGGGGCTTCTCTCGAGTCTGGTGACATGCCACACGCCGTACCCACCACCTGGTGATGTGATATCCCCGAGTCGCGTCCTTCTACCCCACACTACTCCCCTCGTCGGCCCGGGGAGTAGCGTTCTAATAAGAAGGGAGACCATAAACGGCGATGTTGTAGGCGTTTGTCCGTCTTCCACTCGTCGTCATGCCCCGAGGACAGAAGGACAAGTTTTTCAACAAACACTCCCTCAAAGTCGGCGACCGGATAACAAATGCCGCAGGGCTTACTCTGCGCGAGACAATATTTCCTCTCTTCCTTGTTACAATCCTCTATTTCCTTTGGGTGTGTGCATTATGCGTCGAATTTTTGCTCATGCTGATCCTGTCGTTCAAGGGCTTTGCATATGGGCTCCTTGATACCCTCAACAAGCACTTCCAAAACACCCTTGGAATAACGCGTACGCGTTCCTCGGGCCTACAGGCTGCCTATTTTGGCGCCTATCCACTGGCATCCCTCGGCTACGCCAACTGGGTCCTCCGCAAGTTTGGGTATCGCGCAACTTTCATCCTAGGACTCACTCTCTATGGCATCGGTGCTCTCATGATGTGGCCGGCTGGCCTCAAACGCAGCTTTGGTGGTTTCTGTGGTGCGACATTCATCATAGGTAGTGGGTTAGGTACGCTTGAAACTGCAGCGAATCCCTACATGGCTGGTCAGCTTTCCTCCGTATTTCCCGGTTTGCCGAAAAACATGGCTAATCACGTAACTACAGTCACCGGGCCCCCACGTTACGCAGAACTACGCATCAACCTGGCACAAGCCGTTCAAGCGGTCGGCACCGTCGTCGGACCGGTACTGGGGTCCTACGTTTTCTTCAAGGAAACGGGTGATAGCGTCGACTCACTGAAAACTGTCCAATGGGTCTATCTCGCTATTGCTATCTTCGTTTTCCTGCTTGCGGTTGTTTTCTATTTCGCTGTTATTCCCGAAGTTACTGGTACGTCGTTCACTTCATGTAGATTTCGAAATATCTTACGGTTTACAGATGCGGATATGGCCCAACAAGCGGAGCTAACTCATGTCGGAGAACAAGATGGGGATCGCTCTTTCTGGAAGCAGTACCGCGTCTTCCACGCTGCCTTTGCGCAATTCTGTTATGTCGGAGCCCAAGGTTTGTTTTCTTCGCCAATGTCGTTCCCGTCGGCCCTCAGCTTAGGAATATCCATACAGTTGCGATTGCCGGCTACTTTATCAACTACGTCACCGAAACAAGAGGGGAGACGTCTTCCGCGCTCGGTGCCAAGTTCCTCGCCATCGCACAGGGTTGCTTTGCCATAGGGCGGTTTAGTGGTTCTAGTGAGTCTTGATTTTATGCAATACACGAGAACAGGGACCGATCTCACCGCACCTCACAGTCCTGATGCGATTTGTGAAGCCGCGAATCATCTTCTTGGTCTACCTTACCGGTGTCATCGTGTTCTGCAGTGCTAGTATCACACAACGCGGGAACGTCGGCCTTGCGATGCTGAACATGACATTATTCTTCGAGAGCGTGTGCTTCCCGACCATCGTCGCACTAGGTATTCGGGGCATTGGACGGCATACCAAGGTGTGTAGCGCTTAGCTTAGGCAATTCGTCTCATGAGCTGATGTCATCGCATCACAGAGGGGCTCCGGATGGATCGTGGCCGGAGTCGTTGGCGGCGCTTGCGTACGTATACATTAAATTATGCCCGGCGACCAAGCTCTTGACAATGTTATATCGGTCTAGGTCCCACCGATCCTCGCACGTGTTGCCGACGCTCGCGACAGCACCGCCTTCGCCATGATCATTCCCGTCATATTCTTCATCATTGCGTACTCTTATGCACTCACCGTTAACTTCGTCCCGAGTTACCGCGACCCGGCCGATAAGATTGGCGATTCGGATTTGGGCCTGGCACGCGCTGATGATGCAGGATCGGTGGAGAAAGAAGGTAGTCTTGATAAGGAGAAGGGGAGCTCGCTGGAAAAGGAGGCGGCTTGAGTTTGGATTCACTGACGAATCTATCATGTTAACGAGACAAAATACGAAGGGCTGGGGCGAGATGTAGACTACGATTTTCTGTGTATGTATCATAAACTCTGTGCTTATAGTTCTGTCGATTTAGGAGACGAACTCGTACACCTCCGGGGTAAGTCTCAATCCATGCAAGTAGACATGATAAGAAACATCGATCGTATATCGTCCGGTATGGTGTAACGGCTAACATTGCCGCCTTTCACAGATTGATTACGCTCGCGGCAGCTCGGGGTTCGATTCCCCGTACCGGAAATTGTTTTTGCCTTGGCTTTTTGCTTGACATTGCGAACTGCATTAGGGAAGTTGACCCCTTCGCTTATATCGCGGTGAACAGAAGCTCGTTCTCAAATCTCCTTCCGTTGTGTATTTCTCCCGATGCGTAGCTCGTCTAGCACGCTACGCATCATCCCAAGTACAAGTCGATGCGGCATATAAACTCAGAAGATCGAGCCGAATTTATCCTTGAGTTTATCCCCAATCTTATCAGCAACATCTTCTGCCTCATCCACCACATCTCCAGCGACATCCTTGATTTTTGATTCAGCTGCTTCTATTTTCTCTGGTACGCCGAATTCTTCCAAGCATTGGTCGCAGTCTGCAGGCTAAAATTTACGGCGTTTGCACTCGAAACTCAGGTCGGAGAAACGAAGACGACGCACCATATTTACAGCAGCGTTCACAGCGCCTGCTAGGCAACCTGCATCGGCAATGACATCTAGTTTCGTATAGCGTTAATTGGCGCTGCCTATTCAAAGAAAATGTATGGCTTCTTACTGGCACCAGCAGCCGCGGCCGCACCTACACAACCGACAACTAAATCGATCCAAATCGTCAACTATGGGATACTTGCCACGCTCAAGCGTCACAAACCTGTTGGGGCGAGCGCAACGACGCATCCTGATCGTACAACATATCAGCGTGTATTTCACGGTGCGGGATTCAGTATCGGACATACCTGCGATGTCACAAGAGGCCCGCATGAATACATGTCCAGATGGCAGTGCAACGACAGCGCTAATCATAGCGAGGAGGCTGAGGACGAGAGTGAACTGCATGGCTAGGCTGTATGGTGTGGGTGTGGTTTTTGATACAAAGGAGAGGCAAGGAGTGTGGTCCGAAGGGATTAGAGCCGAAAGAGCAAGGAACGTCAAGCTCCAGAGAAACGAAGGGTATGAAAACTGGAAGAGAAAGGAGGACTGAGTGGTCGAACGTAAATTCGAGCCCATTTTAAGTAATCTGAGCAGGGGATATCATCAAAGAGGTGGAGTACCATGATAGTTGGTCGCTTGGTGAATTTGACAAGCACCCCTCCACGACTCTAGGGAACGGTCATCAAGATCAAATTGGCGGCTACGGTCGCTGCTGTCAGTCGGATCTGTATACATTCGACCTCACTTAGGTGGGGCGCCAAAGGGCGATATCTCACTCTTTGAGCTGGGCCCAGGCGGTAGTATGACGGTTCCTGTCAAGCTGTTGTTACGCGAGTCTCACGTGTTGAGGGAGAGTTTCCTAAAAAGGTTGACCAAACAAACACTTCTCCCTTGCCTCCCGCCTTGACGCATCAGCGAGATATGGTCGCTAACCGCCCTCAAACTTGCAATCATCTAACCATCATCTCAGGATCACCGCGTCGCACTTCCCATGCAAGATAAAGCCTCGGTAATCATTTTAAGCTGATTTTCATGAACAAAGAGGCGCACAATCCGCCATGGTATCAAGCGTCCTTGACAGCATGAGCACGAGTGCTGCATGGTTTCAATTTCAAAATTTCACTCTATGATTAAGATCTCGTCGAACCGCTGGTATGCAACGTGATGGGACGTCCCTCCATCGACATGTTGTCTCTGACTCAACTCAGAAATCGAACCCCCGATCTCATCACCTTCGTCCGCCGCGATATCTCTATCTTTGGAGCCAGTGGACTATAGGTTCGTCCACCACTTTGCCCTTTTCCAGAGCTGCTATCTTGGCCAGCCACCACCTTGATTTCAATCATGCGCAGAAGTGGAGTACGCGAGCAACGAGTAAGACAGAAAATTCCTGGCCTATGTCTTAAGATCGCCCAAGCGACCGCTCTTTCACCGCCCGCCAACGCGATTTCGCGATTTCTCAAAACGTCTTCAGTTCCGAATGTCCCATGTCCCATTGGATAACCGAACTCATACATATCACGTCCCGCCACCTGATCCCTACTCATCAACCGCGACTCGTATCAGAACAACGACCCCAACTTGCTCCCAATTTTTCCGACGACATGTCCGGCATCCTCCGCCACCTCCTTTGCCTTCGACGCCGCCGCCTTCGCCGTGTCCTTGATCTCCCCGCCAACGGCTTTCGCGGCGGACTTGGCCTTGGCCTCGACGTTGAATTCGTCCAGGCATTTGTCACAGTCAGCAGGCTACGGGCGCTGAGCTATCAGCATTGAGCGCTACGACGCGTTTCACGGCAACGCACCAAGTTCTTGACCACGTTCACGGCGGATGCCAGGCAGGCTGCGTCTTTGGCGATATCTATCCTCAGATTTGATTAGTACGTATATAGGTTAGCATAGTATCCGAATTAATCACCTGCTCCCTTTTTGATAGCAGCTCCAGTGCAGGACACAACTATGTATTGACTGGTCAGCGGCCCTAATTCGATCTCACACCTTGAGTAAGAGATCACAAACCTGACGGGGCGAGGGCAGCGACACATCCTGTGGGCACCATTAGTTATGAGTCATGAAATGAGTAGGATAGATATCTCAGACGTACCCCCGATGTCGCACGAGGCGCGCATGAATGTGTGGCCAGAGGGAAGCGCAACGACGGCGCTGAAAAAGGCGAAGAAAGCAAGAACGAGGGAGAGGGAGAGCTGCATGGCTGATGGAGGGCGATGAAGTGATTTAAAGACGTGTAGCGTCAGAACGAAATAGAGAACGAGTAGCGCGTATGCGTCGATCCAATGAAGAACAGCGACCAAGCAGAAATGGAACGTCAAGCTCCAGCTGAAGAAAGAAGAAGGAACGCTGAGGAATACCTACACACCTCCTCGTCCGAGTCCATTATAAACATCCTCAGAGCAGACCGCGTGACACCCTGGTGGCTTGATGAGATGCCTACGAGATGGGAACGAACTGTCAGTCCCGAATGCCCAACGTCTGAGGAGAGAACAAACTGTCAAGACGCACCTCAAGATAACCATCTCACGATACGCATGAGTACTAATCAGGTTTTCGTTCCATCCGCCAAGAAAACAAATTCCAACGGTAAAGGAAATCGTTACCAGCGACTGACTCCAAAAAACATATCTCTGAAACGCAGCGAGTCCAACGTCACCGCGACACGCAGCCTCCCTCGCCTCCCAGTACGAGAAGAAAGCAGTAACTCTAGCTAGCCCACAGAACCTACACCGGTGCCCCGATCGCAGTTTCCAACGGTCCAAATAGCGAAAACAAACTACCAAAACACTCTTTCAGATAACCATCTCATCACACGTCCAACTACAAATCAGGCTCCACCGTGCCTTGTTCCATCTGCCAAGAAAGACAAGTCCCAACGACACGCACCATCCAGCCCCGAAAACCTATCCCAGAAAACGCAGCTTCCACGACACACAAGGCAAGAAAGACAAGACCCAACGCCAAAGCAGACACTCACACCACCCGACTCCAAAACCCCATCCCAGAAGACGCAGCGCCTCACGAAGAGAAAGCAATAACTCTAACTAGATTATAGCACGTACACAGTGGTAGTCTTTTGATGATACAAACAGCCATTTCTGTTCACCCCCAATCCCTCCCTTCCTTCACGTAAGTTCTATATCTACCTCGACTTCTCGAGGGTCCTCGACAAGTTATACGCCGCCGAGATCAATGTAACATGGCTGCCAACCCCAGTCAGTCAGTCAAAGCGCGCAAGGGGAGTAAACGAAGACACTCACGTAAATCCTTGCACAGCATTCCCCAAGCTAGAATTTTCCAAAAAATCACGTCAGGTGGGCGGGATCCCGAAAAAGAAAAAAAGAAGGAGCAACGCACGCTTCGCCCGCCTCAGAGATCTCCTCCGTGCACAGCCCAACATGATTGAGGTACAACAAAAAGTCCTACATAACGTATCAGCCTCCACCCCCCAACGATCACCACCACCCCCCGGACGCACCTCAAACATCGAAACAGCCCTCGTAAGCATCGTCTTATCATTCTCCCCCGCCCTAGTAAGCGCCTCAACACACCTGCGCACGCACCCAGCCCCCATATCAGCACGCCACCCCCAACAAAAGAGAATGATCCCGGACGCACCAGAGGGTACACAAACAGAACGTCCCCTCCTCCCCGCCGACTCCATCGTCCGATTTGGACGTATCATACCGGTACACGAGGTTCTACATGGCCCCCGACCCTATCAGCACCGCACCCCAAATAAGGAAGAGCGGAGAACGCACATTCGAAGTCAACCCCCCCCTCTCCGGCGTCTTCAAAATCTGCCTCAACGTACTCACGAACCTCGGATCCGACTACCCCACCACTCACATCAGCGACGCCCTTATCAAAAGGAAAAGAAAAGAAAAGACTAAAAAGAGAAAACGAGCACGCAAGGCGGAAGGGGAAGCGGGGCAAAGGCGAAAGGAAGAAAGAAACGACGCACCCCATGCATAAAAAACACCAAAGGCATAATAAGCACCGCCGAATCCAACACATCCGTCTCATCAAAGCTCTGCCCGAAAAACTTGCCCTCCTTGTTCCACGCCTTGTTCATGATGTCCTCGTAGAGCGTGTCCCGCGCCGCCAGCCACCGGTTGCGGTTCGGGCATGGAAGGGAGCGTTTTTCTGCTAGGCGTAGGCCTGTGTGTGTGTGTGTGTGGATTGGGGGAGTGGGGGGCGATTAGTTGAGACGGGAGTTGATCAGTGCAGAAGAGAAAGCAAGGCGGGTGAGAACATCCCAAAAAACCCCCACCAACAAACGAACAAACCCACCTCGATCAACAGCCACCCTATCCCCAGCATCAGCCATCCCACCAAAAAAAACCAAATCCACACCACTCACCACAGCATAATCTGAAACAGTCAAACTCAACAAAGTGGTCCGCCAGCAACCCAAAAGGCAAGGCGGGTACGCACCTTGGAGTACGTGAAATGCCGCTTCTTATTCCGTACTTCCCTACGATGAACCCAAGCTAAGATCGGCAACGTAGAAGGGTTACGCTCGGGGGGCTTCACTGACCATATCGATCTGGTGGGATGCCACAACAATAGCAATACAAGCAAGCTTATTAGGGCACCATAAAATAGAGAGGGGGCGGACGGGGGAGAAAGGTAAAGGAGGGGAAGGGAGGACGTACAAATCTGGCTCCTGGTAGTTCGCCACCACGACTAGGTCATCTCAGTACGGGGCCCTACATAAACACTTGCGGGGCGTGCTTACAATCCACTCTGTATCGAAAGAAAGATCAGTACAGTCCCCCCGAAGGAAGACGCACTCACAATTCACGCACGAGAACCCTACGGAACGCAGTCAAACAAGAGCCCAATGCCAAGATCATAGATGGGCAGAGACACACCAGTCATCGTATGCCTATCCCGTACGCGTCATACTTGAAGTAGTTGTATACCGGGGAAGGGGATGACTTACGAGGGGCTTGCCAAACTACGTTCACACACCCCAACCACCACCATCAGCGCCGGTCGAACACGAACACGGGAGCACAACGCACCTTCTGTCCAAGGTAAATACAATCCATCCTACCACACCCGTCCCAAATCCGTCAGTTACGTCACTCAATCTCCCCACGTCCGGCCACAAAAAGCATTAAAAAACACGCACAGTTCGCCGTAGATATCCTACACCCCGCCCCATTCCTAATCAGCACCCCTCCTGCACGCCGTAGTATCGAGGGGGGACTCACAAGCTGCACATGATCCGCCGCGCCGTTTCCGATCCTCACAGGCTTCGAGCCCTTGTGCCCGTCGAGATGCGGGAGCTCGATTTCCTCGAGGTCTTTCCCGCCTACCCGTGTTCGTTGATCAGCGCTAGGGACATGGGCGAGGAGGAGGAAGGAAGGGAGGGGGGAGGGAAGGGAGGGCAGAGGGAAGGGAGGAGGGGGAGGAAGAAGAAGAGGGAAGGAACGTACCATGGATGGTGTACATGATCTGCAAACTCCCATCTGGATTCTTATTCCTTAACCGTTCGAAGATGAACTCCATGTACGCTTTCGTCGTCGTCGCGTCAATACCATAGGAAGAAGGGGGGAAGGGAGACGCACCGTTCGCTTCGGCGGTGAACCCGAGTCGGATGAGGGCGTACAATGTGAACGAGGAGTCCCGGATCCACGAGGCGCTGCGCATGTATCAGCATCCTAGGACACGAGGGAAGAAGGAGGGAAGAAGGCGTACCGGTAGTCCCAGTTGCGTGTGCCGCCGATGAACTCTGGGAGGGAGAACGTGGGGCTTGCGACCACGGCGCCTGTTTGATTGTCAAGAGGTGAGTATATGCGCGTGTATGTGGGGAGGGAGAGGGGACGTACCGGTGGGCTCGTAGATGAGGAGCTTGAGGGCGAGGGCACTGCGGTGGACGGCCTCCTTCCATGAGCCGGTGTAGGTGGACTGGCGGATCCAGTCGTTCCAGTACCTGTTCGTGATCTGCGCAAGGCCATCAGTATCGATTACGCATATTAAATTGGATGGACGCACCAGGAGCAGCGTATGGAGGAGCTGGCTGGTAAGGAACGGGTTATCCGGCGTGCGCGTCTTAACCCCCAACGACCCCAACAACTGTCTCTCAAGCGACCGATCCCTACTCGCCTCCTGCGTCTTCGCCTTCTCCCTCTCCAACCTCTCCTCCTCCTCCTCCCCCTCCTTCATCGCCATCACCTCCGCCTCCGGCTTCCTCCCCGTCACCTCCTCCACCTCCTGCGGCGGCGGCGTCCTCAACACAAACGTCACCGCCTGCCCCTCCCTCAACTGCAACGACGCATACACCCCCAAGCCCTTATGCCCCTTACTCGTCAGATCCAGCGTGCCCAGCTGCACCCCCGGCGCCTCCGCCGACTCGCTCGTGCTCTCCGCCACATACCTCAGATCCAGCGCGAACCCGCCCGCGCTCACGAATACAGCCTTTTGCTGCGGGGGCGGGGGCGGGCCGGTGGAGGGGGGAGGGGGGATGGAGGTGTCGGGGACGAGGGCGGTGGTGTGGGCGTCGCGGGCGTAGTTGAAGGCGGGGGCGCATTGCATGAGGAGGGGGAGGGTGCCGCGGACGCATTCGACGCGCCGGATGAGCCAGGGGAGGAGGGGCTTGGTGGAGATGGTGGGGGCGGTGGCTTGGGAGGGGCGCGGGAGGAAGTCGGTTACGCTGGCGACGCCGCCTTCGTTCATGAATTTGGTTTGGAGGACCTGGGTGGGGTGGGGGCGGGGTTAGCGGGGGAAGGAGGAGGGGAGGGGGGGACGGACATTGGAACTGGGGAGGTAGTTCTGTTTGACGGAGAAGGGAACGGTGGGGGTGATCGAAAAGTGCCCGCCCTTGTCCTTGTCGAGAATGCGCGCAAAGACCGAGGGCGAATCAAAGTTCGGGACGCAGTAGCTTTCGACTACCGAGACACGTCAGCACAATTCCAACAAGCGGATGAAAGTACCTCACTTGACCCATCAAGAGAAACCAGCGCAGCCGTGTGCAAGTTCCCAATTCTAAACCACCGTCATCGTTCAGAAGAAGCATTACGACGTCATCAACAACCTCAAGACTCACAACGCATGGTCACCAAGCGAAATGTATTCCCTCTCCTTGTCGGGGATGTAGTAGGTCATGATGGTGCGGCGGTGGACGGGGATGCGGGGTGTTGTGCGCAGTGGTGAGAGTGATAAGAGCGGCTTGTACACGGCATGGTGTCTCATCGATTCTATTGCTTGCTGAGCAGAAGACGTGACGTCACGTTCTCGGACACGGTCAGCGCGCTTAGCCTGTGACGCGTTCCGTGTCCGACGGGAATTCTCTTCACCTGTCCTGCACAGAGTACGCGTCATGAGACCGTTTTTCAGCGCAACCCTCCTCATCTGATCTCGTCCGTCTACCCGTCTCCTGGATCTCATGCGAAAGAACGACCAAAATTAACCCGTACACGCCTCGCCCCCATCCATCAAAGCTCTCAATCACCGACCCCGGCCCCAAACCTTGTCAATGGGATCTTAGTTCTCAGCCTTCGCACCCCGAAGCATGTTCTTCGCATCTAAGAACACGGCGCTATAGCCAAGTGGTTACGGCGACAGATTCGAATAAAGTGGAGGTCCCCCCGAGCTCCTTGATTCCATCTGTTCCTCTTTGAGGGCGCAGGTTCAAATCCTGCTGGCGTCGTCTTGGAGAATTCGGTATCTTTTTCCTTGTATTTTGTTCACAAGTACAGTTTTTTCTGGGGTCTACCGCTACCACGCGTGCCTCCCTTCTCTGCCACAAGCTACACGGCTATGTACAGTGCTCAATCGTTACCAGACCTCAAATCAAGACTTCATTTCGCTACTGTTAGAACATGGCGTAGCGCGCAAAGACGGAAACAATCTGTCACGACAACCCACCAGCGTATCGTCACTCCGTGTCGAGAATCAGTATCATGGCCGGTGCTTTCAGGCGCTCCACGACCAAGTGATTCTAAAATCCGAGTCCAGACGTTCGAAGCTCGGCATAGCCAAGTCCAGACATGTCGACAAGCGTAAAATCCAAAGGATATCAATCTGAGCATGATGACATTGTCGATTCACCCTGGAATACGAACTTTCGACGCGCCTTGGGCCATGCGCATCACCAAGAGCCTCCAGGGTGCGTACCATTCTCGTCCAGTCCTCCTTCATGTGGTAATGGTATTCCAAGGAACGGGAGTTACTCACACGATCGCTAAGGCATCTACATCGCAAATCCAGTACGTATATGTGCCAGGAGAGGAAGAGGCAGGAATCACGACGCGCCTCCACATGAACTGTGAGCTGGTTCTCGCTAAGGGAAGGGGCGACTGCTCGTGGTCCGTGCTCGTCAGGGGAAGCGCATTGACGACCAGCTCGATCGATTGTGAAACGGGCACGCTGCTTCCGGTGGCCACGCTCGCAGTTCCTGCGCGGGATGTGGAGATTACCGTTGTTGCTCCGACGTCAAAGACAACGACTCGCGGAAACGGGGCGAGGCGCTGGATAGGGAACAGGCATGGGTTGGGAGGTACGGCAGTTGTGCTGGGAGTTCTCAAGGAGTTCTGGTCGTGCTTGCAAGTTGTTGTATTGTCGAAGGGCGAGTCGTCAACCTTCACCATGAGTGAGACGGCTCCGAGATACCTTATTAGTATTGCGCCCCAGCAGTCGCAGATAGAGCCAGTGGTGGATGCAATGTAACAATGCGAGCCCGAGATTTGCGATGGGGTCGTTGGTGGAAGTCGGGGTCGTCCCAATTAGGACCCTTCCATGTGTTGTGTTGTTTGCCATATTCGCGTAAGTCCGACGCAAGGATCACGAGCTTCAACTTCAGGACAACTTCAGGATGTACATACATCATCGTGTAGAAGCCTGGAAGCTACACACTACCACGAAAGTGAGCCGCATCGAGCATTTCCTTCCAGGAAGACCACCCTGAGAATCGCCTCTGGTTCATGGCTCAAGAATTTCCGGAGAAAGCACGCTTCGAAGACTTCGGCCGATATGGCTTTCCACGATTTGCTGTCACTTGGTCCTCTTGCGCTTTGCTGACGCAACTTGATAACGACCGCCGGGGTATAGTTTTCTCATGAAAAGCCTTACCTCGTGAGTAGCCGGTCATTGTGTCGAAAACGAAAACTTCCTTTACTAATAATCTACAGTGAATGGTCTTTGTGATTTGATCGAAGGTGTACTCCCTTTATTCATCACATTCTGCGCCGCGCGTTTTCATTTCCCTATCTACATCTGTAAAGGCCCTTTCGAAGCCTTGAATCCACGTAGTCATACAAAGGTCACTCACTCAATGAAGTCCTCGATGAAGAACTCGTCCCGGGAGCGCTTTGACTATCGTGCTTTGACCTTGGACGCGCCCCGCTTTGCACATCCTCTTTGCCTCTTATCCCGCACCCGCCCCTTTGACCTCTAGCATGCTATATAAGGTTACACCGTAAGCTTCTCCATCTCTCACCAAAGTACTCAACTCACCAGCCCCTCCCCTGACCTCCTCCCACCAACCGCACTCACCACTCAACATGTCCTACATCAACCCCCTCCACCCCCCCGTCCCCTCCTCCCGCCAATCCCAATTCTCCTCCCTAGGCGGCGCAAGTGCAACCCACCGCATCCCAGACCGCTTCTTCTTTCGTCTCGCCATTCCGCCGGCGCCTCCCGCAGCCGCCGTACACCCCTGCCTCGAAATGGCGCAACGCGACGGGGAGGCTGAACCAGGTGCACGGCGCGATTGCGTTCGACTTCCTCGGGTACTCGAAGCAGGGCGTCCCCATGCGCGAACTGAGCACAAGGAGCGCGCACGCTCTTGCGTCGATGATACATGGCGCTGGGGATATCGTTCTCGCACATACGGGCCTCGCGCGCATTACGCTTCGCATCATCATGAGTATTAGTTCCCTCCTTCCCTCTCCTCATCGTACGTCTTTACTGAGCTTTACTCTTACAGTGGCCGGGATACGAGCACGTCGAGTGGGCGCGCAGCGTCGAGATTAACCTCGCCGGCCAGGGACCGGTCACGCGCGCGCAGCTTGGTGCGATGATCTCTCAGAATTTCGCACGTTACATCGAGGTATGCACGCGCCTCCCCCCGTTTATTTATATATGCAGCTGGACTGATAATCCGCCCCTTCCTCGTACAGAAAACACGCTCGGAGCCTGCGAGGTCGTCGGACTGGCACTTGGGCCCATCGGGCATCCGGTACGAGCATATGGTGCTCGTGGCGCTGTGCAATGTCTTTGAGGATGTTTGGCAGGCGGACGTTGCTGTAGACCTTCGCTGACGGACGAATTCGCTCTGGCGAATTTTCGCATGTGTGCACCCATTTGCATTGAATTCGGACTCTGGCACCACCTCCATTTGTATCCCTAGCCCATTCACCATTGCGTTCTGTATTTCTAGCTTTTGCCTTTTTTTCCCCGTCGCCCACGCCCATCCCTTCCCTGTAGCATATATCAGCATATCACCATTTCTTACGTCCTTAGACTGAACACCTCACCCGGCAATTATTGATAATTGAATCCCTCAAGTGCAGTGAGATGAGCGTCGTAAGGGCTATAACATGCACTTCTGCATTAGCTGCCTAAATGCTATGCTTCATAGGTGTGCTAAGATCTTCTTCTTATTAATCAACGTCCTCAAGGAACGAGATGACCGTCACGGACGATAAGCCTTCGCGAGCAGCAAGACGACACGTCCGAACGAACAACATAAACTTTACTCCCGCCCACCCCAGCTACGTGCACACAATTCTCATCATACCGGAACGTATATGCGCCAGGCGAGGAAGAGGAAGAAGCAACGCACCTGCAACGGACTGCGACCTGTTTCTCACTGCCGGAAGGGGTGACGGCTTTTGGCAAGGGCTCTTCAGGGGCAGCGCATTGACGACCAGTTGTGGGGCACGCTGCTCCTGGTAGCTACGCTCACGGTCCCTGCGCGGAATGTGGAGAATATCCCTGCTGCTTCGACGACGACGACTCAGGGTAATGGGGCGCGGCGCGTGATGGGAATGAGGCATGGGTTGGGAGGTATGGTGTTTTTGCTGAGAGTTCTGATCGTGCTTGGGCTGCAGAAGACGTCGTTTCCAAGTTTCCTGACTGTTTCCTGTCGCCAGTGTACTAAGCAGTCTTTGCGGTGATCACGTTTCTTCGTCACGTAGGAAGGTCAGTGGTAGACACACTGCCGCCAGTGTACGAGAAGCGAAACACGACGGAAACATGCTAAGATGTAACTTCGATGGAAAAGGCGGAGGAGCTTGTGTAAATGTATCCGGTGATGGGCGAGTCAATCGTTACGAGGAGTGATACCGGCTCCGCAGTACCGCTCATTCGTATTACGCCCCGGCCGTCGCAAATAGCGGCAGTGGTGGATGCAAGGCAACAATGCGAGCCCAAGACTTGTGATGGGGTTATTGGTGGGATTGAGGGGGTCGTCACCGGTCGGTGCCCAGTTTGGAAGTCTTCCATGTTTTGCGTTGTTTACTATACATGGCACGCGAAACCAAGTCCGACGGACCGACGCGAGCTCGTCACGAGCTTCAACTTCAGTGAAGGCTACACACTACCTCAGCCTGCAAAGTGAGCTATCCAGCGCATACTTCCAGGAAGGCCATCTCTGGGATTTCCTTCTAGTTCAACGGCTCAAGAATCTTCGGAGAAAGCACGCTTTGAAGATTTCGGCCGACATGTGGCTTGTCACGATTTGCTGTTACCTGCTCCTCCTGGGCTTTGCTTAACACTAGCACACTAGATAACAGCTGGGGGTATGGCATGCTGTTGAAGAATCTTATCTCGTGAGCCGCCAGTCATTGTGTCGCGAATTTCCATACTGATTGCAGCTCGTTCCGTGTATGGTGTTTGTGATTTGATCGAAGGTGTAGCCCTTTGTCAATCACATTCTGCGCCGCGCGTTTTCATTTCCCTATCTACATCTGTGAAGGCCCTTTCCAAGCATTCGATCAACGTACTCAGACAAAGGGCGCTCACAGAATGAAGAACTCGATGAAAAACTCGTCCCGGGAGCGCTTTGATTATCATGCTTTGACCTTGGACGCGCCCCGCTTTGCATGTCCTCTTTGCCTTTCGTCCCGCCTCCGCCCCTTTGACCTTTTAGCACTCTATATAACAGTACACCGTAAGCTCCTCCATCTCTCACCTCACTACCCAACTCATCAGCCCCTCCCCTCCTCCCACCAAACACACTCCCCACTCAACATGTCCTACATCAACCCCCTCCACCCCCCCGTCCCCTCCTCCCGCCAATCCCAATTCTCCTCCCTAGGCGGCGCAGTACAACCCACCGCATCCCATACCGCCTCCTCCTTCGTATCGCCATTCCGCCGGCGTCTACCACAGCCGCCGTACACCCCCGCCTCGAAATGGCGCAACGCGACGGGGAGGCTGAACCAGGTGCACGGCGCGATCGCGTTCGACTTCCTCGGGTACTCGAAGCAGGGCGTCCCAATGCGCGAGCTGAGCACACGTAGCGCGCACGCACTTGCGTCGATGATACACGGCGCTGGGGATGTCGTTCTCGCGCACACGGGGCTCGCGCGCGTCACGCTTCGCATTATCGTGAGTACTTGTTCCCTCCTTCCCTTTCCTCATCGTATGTCTTTACTGAGCTTGGGATTCTTACAGTGGCCGGGATACGAGCACGTCGAGTGGGCG